ACATTGGGATTGTGAACCTACATATTATAGTAATTACAGTCTTGTAAAGCCACCAGTACGCGCAGCGTTTCGGGCAGTTCTTTAATCTAAGAAAGATGTTTGTAGATGACACTAAGATCTATGGTAAAGTGGGAAGTGAAAGTGATATTGAGACCTTACAAAGAGATCTACATTACACAAATGGCCAGATGACTGACAAATGCTCATTAATGTCGATAAATGCAAGACCTTCCATGTGGGGGCATAACAATCCACGCTCCAACTACCAAACTGAGAGCACAACCTTACAACAGATAGATGAAGAAGAGCACCTTGGGGTCAGACTCCATCATTCACTAAAGTTGTACCACAAGTGAGAGTTTAGTTCATATATTATGCACCCCATACCCATCCTGTGGGTGGTAGAGGAAAGGGTTACAGAGGCACATAATGGGCTCAGGGACTGAACCCCACAATTCATTTAGCTAAGCAAGTTACAATCTTGATGAGCTAGTTACAAAATTCAACAAGTGGGAGCGGCAGTGAAAAATGCGAACCAAACCCTGTGGGAATAATCAAGTGTACCTTTACCTTCAAGGAAAAGAATGTAGTTGTTCAGTTGTATAAGTCTGGTGCCCCCCCCCGCCCCCCTGGATTACTGTACCCAGGCATGGAGAGCTCGTCCTCAGAAGGACATAGCTGCTCTGGAGAAGGTGCAACACCGGGCAACAAAAGTCCTCCCAGAGCTAAGTCAGCTCTCATATCAGGAGCGGCTGAGGGCCACGGGGCTGACAACACCACAGACCAGACATAACAGCGCGGGATCTTATTGAAACCTTTAATATACTGAACAATTTGGAGGATGGTGATCCGGACAATTTCTTCAAAAGGTCAGATGTAACACGAACGAGGAGCAACGGGTTCAAGCTCAACAAGCCACAATGTTGGACTGAAAACAGAAGCTTTATCACCCACAGAGTTATTAACCCATGGAACCGCCTACCCGCTGAAGCCGTGAACACCAAAACTCTGCTGGGTTTTAAAATACAGATAGGAAAGATAATCAGGACAAATGGAGGGTGACCTTTGACAAGCTGCCGGCTTCCTGTTCTCATCGAGGCCTCTAGTATTAGTGCTCCTCAGGTAAATTCAGGTAAATTCCACTCACACGTGTCGGCCAAGTGTGTGGGCCAAGTGTGGCGGCCAAGTGTGGCAGACTAACCAAATAATTTCAGTGTGTGGCGGATTCGACATTTCATCTTACACTCCATTTATCCTGATTATATATGGCTATACTCCCTCTCCTCGTCTGATGGGTCTATCCGTGTATAATAGTTCGAATCCCTCTGATAATCGGCTAATAGTTCCTGAACTATTGCAATTCTCAGGCAACTATCATTCAAACAAGGACTAGGCACTCGGTACTGGTCCAAAATCGATGGGTGGAACTCCAAACCCGGTACATTCCCTTTAAGTGCGTAGCTTTCCTGGCGGTTTAAGGTGATGAATGGGGCTACCAGACAGACAGACAGACAGCAGCGTGGGAGAGGAGTCTGTCGACAAGCTTGTGTTGGTGAGGGTGCTTGAAGGAACATTGTTCTTACTCCATGGTTCTTACTCTGTGGTTCTTACTCTATGGTTCTTACTCTATGGTTCTTACTCCATGGTTCTTACTCCATGGTTCTTACTGTATGGTTCTTACTCCATGGTTCTTACTCAATGGTTCTTACTGTATGGTTCTTACTCTATGGTTCTTACTGTATGGTTCTTACTACATGGTTCTTGCTCTATGGTTCTTACTCCATGGTACTTACTCTGTGGTTCTTACTCCATGGTTCTTACTGTATGGTTCTTACTGTATTGTTCTTATTCTATGGTTCTTACTGTATGGTTCTTACTCCATGGTTCTTACTGTATGGTTCTTACTGTATGGTTCTTACTCCATGGTTCTTACTGTATGGTTCTTACTGTATGGTTCTTACTGTATGGTTCTTACTCTATGGTTCTTACTCCATGGTTCTTACTGTATGGTTCTTACTGTATGGTTCTTACTCCATGGTTCTTACTGTATGGTTCTTACTGTATGGTTCTTACTGTATGGTTCTTACTCTATGGTTCTTACTCAATGGTTCTTACTCAATGGTTCTTACTCTATGGTTCTTACTCAATGGTTCTTACTGTATGGTTCTTACTGTATGGTTCTTACTCTGTGGTTCTTACTCTGTGGTTCTTACTCCATGGTTCTTACTGTATGGTTCTTACTCTATGGTTCTTACTCTATGGTTCTTACTCCATGGTACTTACTCTGTGGTTCTTACTCTGTGGTTCTTACTCTGTGGTTCTTACTCCATGGTTCTTACTGTATGGTTCTTACTGTATGGTTCTTACTGTATGGTTCTTACTGTATGGTTCTTACTCCACGGTTCTTACTCCATGGTTCTTACTCCATGGTTCTTACTCTATGGTTCTTACTCTATGGTTCTTACTCTATGGTTCTTACTCAATGGTTCTTACTGTATGGTTCTTACTGTATGGTTCTTACTCTATGGTTCTTACTCTATGGTTCTTACTCCATGGTACTTACTCTGTGGTTCTTACTCTGTGGTTCTTACTCTGTGGTTCTTACTCCATGGTTCTTACTGTATGGTTCTTACTGTATGGTTCTTACTGTATGGTTCTTACTGTATGGTTCTTACTCCATGGTTCTTACTCTATGGTTCTTACTCTTTGGTTCTTACTCTATGGTTCTTACTCTTTGGTTCTTACTCTATGGTTCTTACTCTTTGGTTGTTACTCCATGGTTCTTACTCTATGGTTCTTACTCCATGGTTCTTACTCTATGGTTCTTACTCTATGGTTCTTACTCTTTGGTTGTTACTCCATGGTTCTTACTCTATGGTTCTTACTGTATGGTTCTTACTCCATGGTTCTTACTCTATGGTTCTTACTGTATGGTTCTTACTGTATGGTTCTTACTGTATGGTTCTTACTCTATGGTTCTTACTCCATGGTTCTTACTGTATGGTTCTTACTGTATGGTTCTTACTCCATGGTTCTTACTGTATGGTTCTTACTGTATGGTACTTACTCTGTGGTTCTTACTCTATGGTTCTTACTGCATTGTTCTTACTGTATGGTTCTTACTCTATGGTTCTTACTCAATGGTTCTTACTGTATGGTTCTTACTGTATGGTTCTTACTGTATGGTTCTTACTGTATGGTTCTTACTCTATGGTTCTTACTCCATGGTACTTACTCTGTGGTTCTTACTCTATGGTTCTTACTGTATGGTTCTTACTGTATGGTTCTTACTGTATGGTTCTTACTGTATGGTTCTTACTCTTTGGTTCTTACTCTATGGTTCTTACTCTTTGGTTGTTACTCCATGGTTCTTACTCTATGGTTCTTACTCCATGGTTCTTACTCTATGGTTCTTACTCTATGGTTCTTACTCTTTGGTTGTTACTCCATGGTTCTTACTCTATGGTTCTTACTCTATGGTTCTTACTCTATGGTTCTTACTCCATGGTTCTTACTCTATGGTTCCTAATCCAAGGTTAGTAGCTGATATCTTATATCATGTATCTTCTCTTTCCCGAAATTTCTATTTCTTAAATTTTTTTCTTTCAGTTTTTCTGTCTTTATCTTCATTCCTCCTACCTCCACCTCATCACCTTTTTCAACTTTTGTCTCCTCTACCTCTATCGCATCTTTAGCCTTTCTAATATCTACTTGATTTTCTTCATAGTTCCTTCATTTGCTTTTCTCTCCTCTTTCACCTTGTAATGCAAATCGAGATAAGGTATCATGATGCCTTGTATACTTCCCTTGATCTCACTAGTTCTTCGCCACATTCCAGTCCTTCTTTCTCTTTATAATATCTCTGTACAATAATCATATATTTTTTTTACTCATCATATTTTATCTTTGTTTCTCCTTACCTGAATTCACCTGAGGTCCTATCTAGTGGCCTCAACAAGGACAGGAAGCCAGCAACTTGTTAAAGGTCCCCCATTTGTCCAGATGATTTTATCTAGTTAGATCTGCGTGTTAGTGGCTTTGCAAGAATGTAAAAATACCAGTACAGTATTATGTAATTTCACAAACCCACTGTACCTTCTTGTAAATAAATTATTATTATTACAGTACAGTATTATTATTTTTATTATTGTAGCAGGGTTTTGGCATTTTCGACTTCGGCAGGTAGGCGGTTCCATGGATTTGCCCGAAACGCTATGCGTATTAGTGGCTTTAGGTATTGTATGCACTAGCTCTATCTATAAATTCAACATTATCTTTGTAAATCATCTATATATGTACTTTTCCTGGAATAAAAAATTAAATTTGAATTTATAACCCCTATCTATCTTAGAAACTGTTCACCAGGTATTTTGGGATAACTTTGCAGTGCATTATGCAATACAGTAATGAGACTATATCCCTATCCCCCAAGTCACTGACCGATAACTGGCGAGTTCTTCCTTATCCTTTCTGTTGTTGTTTGACCTTTTACATGTTGATTTTTTCCATGGTGCTTTTCCCACTGCAGATAGCACTACTTAAATTTGTTTTCTTTGCTCTTTCGTCTGTTGGCTTCACTATCGCTTTTTATTGATCAATTCACTTGTTATTTCTACTGTGAAATATTTCTACATCTGTATGGTTACTCTGCATCTACCTCATTTTTCTCTAATTGTGTTTCTGTGGTTGCTTTGCACTGGCGTTTCACTGGAACTTCAAGAATGATATCCTCTACAGAGAAACCTTGGATGGTTGTGTGGATAGCTACCTCACTTGTGTACCCAAACCTTATCTCAGGTCAGATACCTGCCTCTTCCTGACTTCCTGTTCCTATTGAGGCCACTGTAGATGATGGCTTTGGGGTAAATTCAGATACAGTATAATCACTGAAGAGACATTTAGCAGTGAGTGTTTATGTCTCAAGGGTAGGTCTATGCTTCTGGACCACCCTGTATTAGTGTTTCTTCAGGGTTATATAACTTTATTTTTTTTTTTTGCAGACATGATGGAAAGGTGACTAAGATAAAAGCAGCGGACAGCCCAGAGCACTGCTGCACTACTGGCAGTGCCAGGACCCCCCACCCACTTTTGCAGTGCCATCACCCATTCTTGCAGTTCCACCACCTAATTTTGGCAGTAGCACCACCTAATCCATCAGTGCCACCACCCACTCCAGCAGTACCACCACCCACTACAGCAGTACCACCACCCACTTCAGCAGTACCACCACCCACTCCAGCAGTACCACTACCCCAACTACAAATGTGACCACCAACCTCAAAAAATTATGATCCAAATTACCAATATTCCATTGTCCTCCTTTTGATAAATACCTGTAAATGATTATCCAGGATCAGCTTTGAGTTTACATTCCAGCTCAGCACAGCGAGGTTAGACAATGTTTCCAAACGTTGGTTATGTAACAGGTCGGCTCAGGGAAGCTAGGAATGTAACATGTCGACTGCGAGAAGTTGGGCGGATCCGTGTGAAAACAGTCGAGGAAGTATCCGAGCCACTTCGAGAACCAGGCATTATCACTGGGTACAGACATGAGAACTGCTCAGTTATCCAGGCTGTTGCTTCACTTTTCAATGCCACAAATGAGACTGTCAACTTTTGGACGCACTTTCTTGCCAGTGTTTACTTCACTTGGCTCCTTGTATCTCTTTCAACTATAATGCCACTGTTTGAGGACCCTTATCTCTTACCCCTCACTTGTTACATGATTGCTGCCTGTTGCTACCCACTCATGAGCTGCCTAGCACATGCCTTCTCTTGTTTGTCGCTCACAGCCACTCATATATGTTTCTTCATTGATTACCTTGCTATTTCCATGTATAGTTGGGCTGTAGCATATCTATATTACAGTTACTGTTTCCCTCCACAACTTATGAACACTTGGTTTTCACATATCTACCTTCCGGTAGCTGCCGTGAATGCTATCCTGGCCACTCTGTGTGCGAGTTTGTCCCGGTTTATTCACCAGCCAGCATTCCAAAAAATATTGCGTGTTGCAGCCTTTGTAGAGCCCTTTGTGTGGGATTCCTTCCCTCTTGTTCTTTGGCTTTACTCTTGTGATACTAGTTCCGATTCTTGTGGTGAATCTCGTATATATCACCTAAATCAATTTTTCTGTGTTATCACTGCATCTTTTTTCTATGGATCTCACTTTCCCGAGCGACTTGCACCTGGATGCTTTGACTATGTGGGACATTCACATAACATATTGCATGTTTTTAGTATAATGGGCACAAATGAGCAAATGCGTGCTGTTCTAATTGATTTAAAAAAACGAAGGTCTTATTTAGAATTTGTCAATTGGCTTCCCACACCCAAATGGGCTATGCAGGCAACACCTTCTTTGTTAATGTGCAATATTTTGCTGGTTTTGGTTCTTACTTATTTCCTCTCCAAACACATGCGATCCACACGTCACAGTTGTACACAGAATACTTCCTGTCAACCAATGGTTGCTGCAACAGCACCACCTCCTAATGACCATGCCAAAGAACAGTGACATTTAGACACTTCAAATACTGTACTTGCACTTTTGGGACCATTTTCATTCCTCTCATTTCAGTACTGACCCAGATGGCCTCTTCATGGCTCTTTTGGTGTGTAATAAGGGTTTGCTGTAAAGCATATTGGCAGTACCAAAATAATGTAGTGGCCACCTGGGTAGTTGACTGCTGAAACCAACTTCCTGTGGTATGTGCATTTTGGTACAAGTTGATCTGCCTCAAGTATGATTGTATTGTGCCTTACACATATGAAACTTTTGATAGGATTATAGCACATTTGCATTACAACCCAGGATGCAGACAGGGGATAGTCAGATAGCTTAGTCCAACACAATACATTCTCATGAAATACAGCCAAACCAAAATATGTGATATAAATTATGAGTGCATAAGATTGATAAAAGCCCTTTCAGTTTCATTTAGATTAGCAGAAAGGAGTTACATTAATAAGTTACAGATATCATATTGAGCAGACACTTCGTTTATGTAAAACAGTTCACAGTTTTGTCTTTTTTTTTTCATCATTGTCTGCACTTTGAATTTCTTGTTACAGAAGGTTAGATGTAGAGAAATATGCATATAATTAATTATAATTTTTCTCAACTATAATATGAACCAGGGCTATGTTAAATCAATTTACATACAGTACACTGTGTAAACAGAAGCTCAAATTATATTTCAACTTACGTATTAGTTATTAGCTTTTATTAACCTTTCTTTTATCAATGTTGAAGACTATTAGTGTTATCTATCTTTATGTGCACAATAGCAAAACCAGATATGAAGCTGAAAATTAATATAATTAGTGGCATTAATCTCACGCACTTTCCCTCATCAAACAATAGAGTTTAAGGAAGTATATTTTTTCACAAGTTTACATTGTAAGATACCTTTATCATAGTTATCAAGAATATATAATTTTATCATCAGTTGTGGTGAAGGCTTTACCAGAGTTTAATTAGATTTTTTCATTAGAATTTAGCAATTTTTAATTAGATTATGATTATTTCATCACCAGGCAATATCATATATATTACGATTATTTATCCACCTTTTTTGTATATCAGTTGCATTGTAAGGAATTCATTACAATTATTCACCTCTCTCGTTTCCAATGTTACATCATAATTGTTTTTCCACTTTTTCTGGGAGTGTTTCCCTCAGTAGATTGCAGAGCCACCAGGGAGACCTACCAAAAAGAGGCATTTCATTATAATACATTCAATATTCGATTTTCCCTGCATTTCTTACACTCATCATTCATTACTTGAATCATTACATATTATTTACGATGGTTTCACTTATTATACAAAAGCCACCAACGAAATATATACTGTATGTAATTGATTTCTAACAGCTTCATTGTCATAATAGTTGAATCATTGTGTATTATTTAAAAGTGTTTCTCTATACAACAGCCACCAATGTCAACTAATAATTTATTAATAATAGTTGTAGTATGTCATAATGTATAAAAAGATGAGACTTATTGGGCTATTTGAATTTGATATTGACTTGGTAACATATGTTTAAAACATTCACCCTTGTTTTTCCATGTGCTGTAGTCTATATATATTTTAATAATTCTCTTTATATGTAAATTATGTATACAATCATGGGGCAACAGAATGTTGGCAATTGATTTATATTGATATAATTAGTTGAAATTAAAGCCAAACCCAGTCACAAAATCCAACAGATTCATGGCTTTATTTTGAAGTCTATTTTCTAAGCTATATATTGCTTGACATTCAAGTATAGTATTTTGTAGCAACATTTTTTCTTGAAAATTTTGACCAATAGGCAACAATATACAAATAAATGTTATAAATTCTTATACTCTACACCAGGCATGTCAAACTGAGGGGTCCCCCGAGGGCCATATGGGCCACATTTGTTTTGTCATTAGGGCGACACACCACAACTAATTGAAGTCAGTTAATAACAATTATTGCAGAATATTTGTATTACTTAAACTTAAAAGCATACAATATGCATATAAATGGTTAGCGGCTGACCACATCCATATGCAAAGTACTGTAATGAAGTACAGTACTGTAGTTTACTAAAAGATTTTTTTTTTAACAGCAACATAGACTTCTATGCAACAGCAACAAATACATTGCACAAAAATTACAAGAATTAAAAATTAACATTTATTTACAACCACTTGTACTGTATTTCTATAATTTTTAGTGTTTTGTCTTGAGGCTTGACACCTCTTTTTAATGACAATTTTTGTCATTAAAATTTCTGGCTGAAATGTCTGTGCAGTTCCCTTTTTGATCAGAAATGACAAGTGTTGATCAGTCAGCCTTGCTCTCTGAGAAGTTTTTGAAATCTATTAAAAGGTAATAGATCAAGTTATAAAAATGGCAATTTTGGCCATTAAATGACCATATTACAGTATCCTTTGTGTGGGTCGCATGTGTGCTTGCAAAGTGCCGCATGCAGCCCACGGGCCACATGTTTGACATGCCTGCTCTACACAGTATGTGCATTTATTAGTGATAAATATTGTATTCACTTTCCAAAGTAACAGTAAATGCTATTGCAGATTTAAATCATATTATTTTAAATATTTATATGTACTGCATACATGTAACTAGATATAGAAAACAAAATAATAATTTTATAGAATTTCAATAAGGCTTTGAAAATGCCATTTTTAGGTGAACTATTTTTTATGATAGTGTATACAGTATTATAGTACTTGTGTTCCAACTGTCCATAATGTAAGTAACAATTATGGCTAATAAACAGTAGTCATCCAAGTTACACAAGTGCCACATGCACCATAAGTGTCAAATACAGCACGTATGGTCACTACACACACACACACACACACACATACACATATAATTATTACAGTATGTATTATGTAAATTGACCTTAGCTTCTCATCCGTAGGGATATTGCTGATGTCAAGTCTTGTATCTTTTTTGCTCTTGTATTTTAATCTTGAATGATATCTAGTACCTTTTGAGTACTCTAAAATACAGATGGTGCTATATATCCTTTTGGGCTTGGCATTTTGCTTAGACCATTACTGTACTTTCAGAGACAAGGGGTTATTTAATTATATAAAAAATGATAACAACATTGGAACTAATCATTTAAACAATGGAAGAGAGAGAGAGACATATTTTAGGTTCTTGCTAAATTTATTAATGGTATTTTTAAATAAATGAAGTCAAATGTTTTGATTTGTTATGTATTCATTTCTTTGTCTATGTGTGTACTGTAATATAAACTTTAGTTAATATTATTTTTAGACACTAATGGTACTAACTATGATGGAGATATATATTTAAACACATTTTTTAATGCACAATGAAATCACAAGAACATGATAAATCTAGGAGAGAATATTGAAGCCATACGATGACATCAAACCCGTGCCCCTGAACTCCAGTCAGTAGTGCGTGTGCCTGAGGAGTGGAGTTCAGGGATGGGGGTTCGATCCCTTACCTCGATCCCATCCCGATCGATCGAACACTCATTCGATGGGGTTCGATCTCGATATTCGCTCACATTTTTTAATAATTGTCACTAAAATTGGTAGTACTGTATCCAACATGACTGATTATGACCTGTTATGCTAAATGAACCAGATCAGATTTTGTTACATTTTATACCATAAAATTTACTTAAAAATAACATGACTTATGAAGGTTAATGTTATAACAGCATATTCACAGGTATGGTAAATTAAATTATGTCTTCCAGAGAGAAGTTTCTGTTGTGTGCGTGTGCATGTTTGCAGGACATCAGTATTAAATATTTAAACAATGTTTTGCATATACGGTATTTCTGAACATCGCAAATTGTTATCTTAATAGAGTACAGTACGATATATTAAAAGTGAAATGTAATGCTGAACTTGGCAACATTATTTATGGTTATATGCTTTAAATTGTTCAATAATGTGTAGTCTACTATTTGGATGCGGTAGCCAGGGGGGCCAGAAAGCTAGTAGACACTTGCACAACCAATCCTGTTGTATCTACATTCTCAGTTCATATGCAGTAAAAGCTCGGTAATTTGGATCTCCTAGTATTGTAATCTGAATGAATTCATGTGGGCATTTTTCATCTTTTAACCTGAATAGGAATTCAGGTTGCTGAAATTTTTGCCGAACAAAAACACTGAATAAATTTGAGTTCATTATCATGACCTCTCACCTCGAATAAAAACCCAGATTACCAAGATTTCTACCAAACGAAAACCCTGATAAATTAAAAAAAAAAATCATATATAGACCTTCCTAGTTAAAAAAAAAAAATTGTCTGGTTAAAATAACCAGTTAAAATAACCTGGCTAAAAATAGCCTGTCTGCGCTCATATAATTTAGATTATCATGTGTAGACAGTATTGTATTGGTAAAAAAAATCTTAATAAATTTATGATTTTTTAATGCTTGACCTTAAAATCTTATTTCTTTATAGTACTGTAATTAGAATCAAATGATTAAAATATATACACTCACTTTTTGCAACAGTGAGCATATATATTTATATATATATTTATATATAACTTTCATAAAATGTAAATGTAATTCTTAATATTTTGTGTACGTTTAATGATATGAGTTGTTTGATGTTTTTATAAGGCTGGTATTTTTTTTACAAGGCATGCACTTTACTAGTGCAGTACTCCGAATGTGCTATTTCACAATGATAATGAAATAATGTGTGCATTAGGGCAATGGTTCTTGGCCTTTTTACAGTTAGAGACCTCCACTGGATTACCCAATATTTGCCAGGTTGTCGAGATTATCACCACCACCACCATTGGGTACCAGTAGCGCACAAAAAATATCAATAGCTTGATCGATCTTTGTTTACATATGGATTGCTAGGAACAGAGCCCCTGAAAGAACATCATAAGGATTTTTTCATTTATTTATTGACAAATGACAAATCACAAATATACAAGCTAGCTAAAACTAGTGAGATTTTTTTTTGTGCAATCAAGCCATGGATCGAGGTACAGTTACTGATGGTAATAGTTAATTCTAATCTAAAAACTGCTTTTTTTAATTGTTTAGAAATCTAGTCATATACCCCAATCCATTTTCTGTTTAGAAACCTAGTCCTATACAGAGGACTAAGGATGGATATCCTTAGTTAAGAACCCCTGCATTAGAACATTCCACTGTAATATCATCGGTAAATTTTTGTATCAGTGAAGAGCAATAGGTACAATCAAAGAAAACTGGATGAACAGCAGTGCTATAGGTATTCAATATCCTCCCCCAATAAATATAAGAAATATATATTTCCAATACAAAAGTGAACTTACTCAAAAAACACTAAACATGTTTCTACAGCAAGTGCTGGACGGGCCATGTTGTTGTATTGGATATGTGGGCCCGAGAGGCCCAACCAACAGGCTCTCACATCACATTAACACCAGACAAGTCTGGCCCCCCAGGCTGGGCTTGGCAAATAGACAAACTCTTGGAATCCACTCCAGGTATTCTCTAGGTAAGTTCTTTTTAGCATTGGCTCACAATTGTTTCCATATAAGTAAGAAAATTCTGATGGCATTTAAATTCAATAAAGGCTTCTATTGAATCTTCTAAAACCTATTAGATCAACATCTAATAGGTTTCCAGAGGAACCTATTAGATTTACTGAGGTCCTTCTTGGCTAACTACTGACCTTTCCCAGAATGCAACCCACAACAATTGTCAAACTCCCTGGTTCCTATTTACTGCTAGGTGAACAGAGGCATTGGATGAAAGGAAACATGCCCCTTGTTTCTATCCTGCATTAGATTTTAACTCTGGTCCCCTCATTTGTGATCAGATTATATATACAGTATGTATTTTTTTTTCACCTGAGGGCCACTAACCCTAGTGTCCTCAACGAGGCCAGGTAGCTGATGACTTTTTGAAGGTCCGCCCCATTTGCCTTGATCTTTTCCAGGTATATTTTGAAATTCAGCACAGTTTTGGCAGTTACGGCTTTGGTGGGTAGACAGTTCCATGGGTTAATAATGCTATGGGTGAAAAAGCATCTCTTGTTCTCAGTCCTACATTGTGTTATGGGCTATTCATGCCCATGCCACCTCTTGGGTGGCTTAATCTTTATCAATCAATTTTCATTGTGGCTTGTTGAGCTTGAAATCGTTGCTCCTTATTTGTGTTACATCTGACCCTCTAAAGAAAATATCCGGATCAACATCCTATAACTTGTTCAGTACTGTATTTTAAAAGTTTTAATGAGATCCACCCTCTCGTGCTTGGTTTACAGTGTTAGCCCTGTGGCCTTCAAGTGTTCCTGATACTAGAGATGACCTGGCTCTGGAATGACTTTTGCTGCCCTGTGTTGCACCTTCTCCAGAGCAGCTATGTCCTTCTGAAAATGGGGTCTCCATGTTTGGATACAGTAATCTAAGTGAGGCCACACCAGAGATTTATACAGTTGAATCGTTACCTTCTACTCCTTATAGTTAAAAGTACACTTGATTATCCCAAGAGTTTGATTAGCTTTTCCAATTGCTGCTCCCACCTGTTGTGCAACTTTTTATGAGTGGTGGATCTTGACTCCAAGGTCCTTTTCTTCATCAATCTGCTGTAATGTAATGCTATTAATTTGGTAGTCGTGGCATGGGTTGTTTTGCCCCATGTGCATGGTCTTGCATTTGTCAATATTAAAAAGCATTTGCCAGTCTTTTGATCATTTGTGGAGTATATGTAGATTTCTTTGTAAGGTTTTAATATCGTTATCATTTCCTACTTTACCATAAATCTTTGTGTCATCTGCAAATTTGATGATGTGGTTTATAATATTCTCGTCTGTCATTGATTTACGGTACAGTATGTATATGACAGAAAGGGTAGGTCCCAAAATGGACCCTTGTGGCACCCCACTTAACACATTTTTCCATTCCGATTTATACAATACAATACAATTTTTTTACAATACAATTTTATTTAGGTAAGGTACATACATACAATAAATATTTACAAGGATTGTTTAACTTATAGGTATAGCTAGTACATACAATGCCTAAAGCCACTATTACGCAAAGCGTTTCGGGCATGATAAACTTAAATGACAAGCTTAATACTAATTGAGCATAATGAGTAGAATGAAAACAAGAAATGAAAACATAGATGAAAAAGCAGCACAAATACAATTATGTCGACAAACAGCGCTCTTTAAAGAAAAAAACAGACATTGGTTGACAATAGAAGGGTAAGGTAGGTTACAGGGAATTTATTAGGTATAGCTTCGCTTTTAACTTAAACTGGTTGAGAGAGGTACAGTCTTTAACATGGTTGGGAAGGTCATTCCACATTCTGGGCCCCTTGATTTGTAGAGCATTTCTAGTTTGATTAAGTCGTACTCTCGGAATATCAAAACTGTATTTATTTCTGGTGTGATGCTCATGGGTTCTGATACAACCTTCTATGAAGCTTTTGAGATCAGGATTGGCATTATAGTTTAGCGTTTTATATATGTATAATACACATGAGAGAATGTGCAGTGACTTAATGTCTAACATATTCAGAGATTTAAGTAGGGGTACCGAGTGATGTCTGGGGCCAGAATTGGATATTGTCCTAATAGCAGCTTTGTGTTGAGTAATTAGAGGACGTAAGTGATTTTGGGTAGTAGAGCCCCAAGCACAAATACCATAGTTGAGATATGGATAGATAAGGGAGTAATAGAGAGTCACCAGGGCAGGGCGTGGTACATAATATCTGATCTTAGAAAGAATGCCCACAGTTTTTGAAACTTGAAATTTGTTTTTTTGAAATTTGTTTCCATTTAGCACCACCCTTTGTATTCTTTCCTTCAACTACTGTTTTATCTATTTTAATATTTTACCATTTATTCTATGGGTCTGTAATTTTCTTGCCAGTCTTTCATGTGGTACTGTACCTTATCAAAAGCTTTAACAAAATCCATATACTGTATATTACATCCTCTGGAAGGCTTTTTTTGAGTAACAGGTTACGTTTTCCAAAAATGTGATCAAATTTGTAAGGCAGGATTTCTTTTTAACAAATCCATGTTGTGTCAATTGTACAATTTTTTCACTGAAAGATGGCGAATGGTTCCCTCCTTGAGGATTCTCTCCACGAGCTTGCAGATGTGTGATGTCAAGCTGATCGGCTGGTAGTTTTCTGCTGAGCTCTTTCTACCTTTTTTATGTAGACCACTGTGCTACCAAACTTGAACCATCATATGGAAATTAATTATTTCCTGTTTGCCTTTAATGAAATTAAATGTGAAGATTTCAAAAATATATACTACTGAAATAAAACTACGTATTAGTGACAATATTGTCTTCTACAGATTTATTTATAATTCCAGTTGTTGGGGAGAAAAAGCCTGTACTTAAGCCTATTGAGGTCCCCCTATGTCAGCTACTGACCTTCCCCAGAATGCAACCCACAACAGTTGCCTAACTCCCGGGTACCAATTTACTGTTAGGTAAACATACGTATCAGGTGTAAGCAGATCATGAATCACAATAACGTGGCTGAAGATATAAAGACTAAGCAACACACCAGAAAATGAAGAGAAGACAATGTTTCGTTCCGCCCTGGATCAATCAAGTCGATTGTGCAATCAATCGACTTGATAATGGTCCAGGACGGACCAAAACATTGTCGTCTCCTCATTTTCTGGTGAGTGGTTTAGTCTTCATCAGGTGTAAATAAATATGCCCACCTGTCTCTGTCGTGCCTGGAAATCTTAATCCAGGATCTTCAGATGCGAGCCAAAGACGTAAACCACTGCGATACAGGACCCAATGATGACAATAAAATGACAATATAATATAATATAACTGATATAATGAATGAGATACTGTACTGTATAACTATACTCATCATAATTTTTTTTGTGTGATTAATAAGACAATGAAGGCAGTGTTAAATTTCAAAATAATTTAGCATGCCATACTTCCCTATCACTCTCAAGTGCCTGTTAAATATTGCTTAGTATCTTAATGTTAAAATCTTGAAATGAATGAAGCTGATAAACATTCACCCATACTGACAGTGTTGTCACTTTTAAATATACAGTACTATTTTCTTCTTTCATCAAGCTTGAGGTATGAATGATTTTGGCATTGTAATTGAATTAAACAGAAATGTATGTATTATATATTGGTCTAAGAAGGATTTGTCATTGTAGACAAATGATATATATAGTAGATCTATTGCATATATATATATCAGTCCATTATCAAAACAAAGGGCTGGAGTGAGGTTCACAATATGCAAGTCAAATACTGACTACAAAAGTTCTACATTCAGTACAGTATTTGATCTTACAGCCTACCTAGCCATGTTCGAGGCTATAAAGCGAATGTCCTTTGTTCACCTTCAGCCTTTTGTATAAACATTCCCTAAATAAACGTAACCAAAACACCTTACCTAACCTCGACCTAACTATACATAAACCCACAATATATAATAATATAAATTTACATTTTAGAACTTGTTTTTTTATGTATTGTATCAAAGATTCATCCTGTCAATTTGTTGTCTGCTGAGTAAGTAAAAAACTGCACTTAGTTTTTACTAAGTCAGTATTTGACTTGTAGCTTGGGCTGGAGGATGGGATGTTATATATATACAGTATATACATAGTTCTATGCAGTGTAAGCCCATTGCATAAATACACAGTTCTATGCAGTGTAAGCCTATCACATAGATACTCAGTTCTATGCCGTGTAAGCCTATCGCATAGATACACAGTTCTATACAGTGTAAGCATAGATATACAGTTCTTTGCAGTGTAAGCCAATTGCATAGATATAGTTCTATGCAATGTAAGCCTATCACATAGATACACAGGGGTCCAGATTCACGAAAGCACTTACGCAAGCACTTACGAACGTGTACATCTGTCCTCAATCTTTGACGGCTTTAGTTACATTTATTAAACAGTTTACAAGCATGAAAACTTTCCAATCAACTGTTGTTATTGTTATAAACAGCCTCCTGGTGCTTCGGAGCTCATTAACTGTTTAATAATTGTAAACAAAGCCGCCAAAGATTGAGAAAAGATGTACAGGTTTGTAAGTACTTTCGTGAATCTGGTCCCAGTTCTATGCAGTGTAACCTTTTCAAATAGCCCTGTACTGCATAGATAG